TCCCCCCCTCCCCCTTTTCCAAGTTATTACTCGTTTTCTTTTTATAAAGAGCTACTTTGGGAATAGACATTGGGGCGGATTTGAATTATCGGTCTTTCGTTAAAATGAGCGATTTATATCAATATTACTATTAGATCTTAGACTAATGATTGTAATAATAAAAATAGGCTAATTCTCGAATGGGACAAGAATAGAATACTTAAAGGATTTTTATAATGTTATTATTTTTAATAACTCAGCATGCCTGCTTGAATCAAGACCTTCTTTTAAAACAACATCATTTCAATTCTACACTCGTATGCCGCTGAAGAGGGGGCGGGGTGGGTTCAACTCGTCTCTGAAATCTCTAACGTGTTGGAAAGCTGGGCAGGTGAACAGCGGTCACAAATCATAATTATCATTCTGGGAGAATGTATCAAAGCGATAACAAGGTTGTCCTTTTAAAGCATTAATTCATCTTATCAAATTGGCTGAACGGCGTAAAACAGGTTCTCCAACAGTATTATTTTTCACAGAAACCACCCACCCAGCCCTTAACCGACAATCGCATCTCCCCTCTTCATCTGCTAGCGATACAAAAAGGAAGGGAGGGGAAAAAGGGAAAAGTAAAATATTCCTAACTTCTTCACCGGGGACATTCATGGGCTCGGGCAGATTGAGCTCGTGGGTTATCTGGGCAATTATAGAGCAGGCTCTGCAGTGAAAGAGTTAAGCGTGTCATGACTTTCCTCTCTGTGTCAACTAATCTGAATGAACACAGACACAACAAAAGAAATATCATCATATTCTTCCTTCCTAAGAAAATGAAGTACATTGTAACACTGAAGCAAAGAAGAAACGGGTGACAAAGAGTCAACAGAAATTATTTAAAACAACAACCACATTTTTTTTACAATTTAAAAATTCCAAACCCAATGTCACATTTGATCGGACAGTCTCAGAATCAGGAAATATGTGATCGACGTGAACACTTAAAAGATCAATTTGACTGGACACGTCAACTAAATCTGAGATCAGCTAGAGCATTGTTAAGTATCCATTCGAATGGATGAAATGAGGAAATGAAATTAGTAAGTAATTTTCTCAGAAAACTTAAAGATTTTGGATGATAGTCACAGGGGTGTGGCATATATAATGGTTATCTCACGTACTTACCTCTTCCGATGAAGCTTCCAGGAAAGAATAGTCACCTTGAGGAGTCGAACTGACCATGGTCTCAGAGGTACGCTGCTCCGTCTGGGCATCGGGGTGTAATTGTCCCAGACATGCTGTCCTGTGTGCAAGTTGCGCACTTTAGAGACCCCTTGGTTGTCCAAAATCGATATAAAATTAGGCTTCAGCCGCCACCTGGGCAAAATTCAAAACTAATTCTCTACCAAATTGAAAATGTGTAGTGTACCACGCGCTCTCATATGACCATATTATTATACAGTTGCGAGCCCCGTAAAACACTTACTTTACTAAAACAGAACAAAGACGTACTGCTTTTCGGTATAGGTCGTTGATTGACATAGTGGACTCACGCCTGCCGGGATAACGGATGTGGGCATAACATAAGTCGGGATAGCGTCAAGAAGTTCAACTGTATCGATGAGCAGGCTTGCATTGTTTGCACATACGTGCGAATCTCCGAAGCATAACCAGTCCAGGTCTCACACATGATAGGAAAAGATTTGCCATAAGTGGTTTCCGGGGAAAAGAGTACAAGAGCAGAACTGTTCGGCAGGGGGTGGGGGGTGAGACGATCGAGCCATACTAAATGGACACTGGAAACAGCACACCTACACTAGTAACACACTGAGCGACAATCACAAACGTCTTGACAAGTGAAGCAACAAGTGAACAGAGACGCAGCAAGAATAATATTATTACCACAATCTATTCTATCTACAACCCATGTTGGCCCCAAAAGGAAGGATCAGGAGTCCGCTTCCTAAATGATTGTAAATAATGTCGATTAGGGTTTTTTTAAAACCCATCTACTTTTAAAAAAAGCAATCTTTATTCTTCTCATGAGCTACCAGCACACAAGAAGAGAAGGTAGACAATCGGTCAAATTATTTTCTGTAAGAATAAAATATGACTGTGTTACTCCCCCTGATCCCTCGCCACCGGTCGGGGATGTCGGTAAAACTCGCTGGTGATAATAATAATATGCTGTTTTAAGCCAAGTTTCGGTCGATAGGGAGGCGGGCAATTTCGACTTTATCTGTCACGACCAACCCTGCGATACAGCATTTCAGGTGAAGTCAGCCTCCTACATTACCTAAATTGTGTCTATGGGAGCATAAAAAAGATACTTACCGTGATTTATATTATCTTATTATGTTCTTGTTTTTAATTTCCCCCCCAGAACAATGACGTCCAACAAGACCACTCGTCGACTCCTCCTCTCCCTCTTCCCTCTACTGGTGCTCGTGAAGCCAAGCTCCGCCTACCAGCGCTTCCAGGAGCTGATCCCTAACGGTGGGCGTGTCCCAAGCCCGTGTGATGGACAGCCGGTATGGCAGGGAGTGGGGCACATCACCAAAGACGGGGGCTCTCAGCGGAATCAGTTTGGCATTGATTTCCTCAGTCAAGGACAGGTTAGTAGCACTATATTTTTCAATACGTTTTACTCTTTTTAAATTATTTTTTTTGGTGGTTTTGTTTTGTTTACCTCGCCATGGGAAAGAGTGTTCTTTCAATAG